TTACCTTTTCTATTAATTTTTTACTTTCATTCTTGTTCAAGATTTTATCAGTATGTAGGTCTTCTTCTAGTAATTTTGAATGCCTGAATTCTTTTTCTTTATCTTCAGTTAAATTAAGCCAAACAGAAACAATTTGTGTATTTTTATTGTTGAAGCGGAATTCTTTTTCAACATGTGTATCATAAATTTTAAGTTTTTGATAAATTACTTCCATTTATTACTTTCTTGTTTAAATTTTTTTATATCTTGGTATATTTTAACTCCTAATACAATAATATTTACTGTAATTAAAATTCCAATAATTACAGGAGGTATCATTTTTATAAAAATTATCGTTACAATTTTTTTTATTTTTAATAATTTAAAATCAATTAAACTTATTTCAGCAGCCATAATAAGATTACATGTACATATGTTTAATTAAACTTTTTTTATTATTATGCTGTAAGATTACATTTACATACATATCAATTTTTTTTAAGATTACGCCTCTTTTTTTAACTTTTTTAGTAACTATAATAAGATTACATTTATATACGTTTAATTAAACTTTTTTTAGTAACTATAATAAGATTACATTTACATACATTTAATTAAACTTTTTTTATTATTATGTTATAAGATTGCATTTACATACATATTAATTTTTTAAGATTACGCCTCTTTTTTTTAACTTTTTTAGTAACTATAATAAGATTACATTTACATACATTTTTACAAATAATTAAACTATCATAATATAAATATTAAATTAAAATAATATATAAAATTCGTTTTTTTTATCTTTAAAAAAAAATAAAGATTATTATAACTTAAATCTTTATCAATAATTTTTTGTTAAACGTAATTAAATTTTATTTCTTCATTATTTTTTTTTTTAATATTTTTTATTTATTTTCTTTTTTTTTTAGATGTCTTCTGATAAGGAAGAATCTCAAAGTGATAATGACAATAAAGTTACTGTTCAACTTCCGGTTGATAATAGTGTAAGAAATGAAATGATTTCTTTATTAAGAACAGGAAAAATAGACTATAATTACAAGATGGATACCAATTTTTTTACTGCTGAAATCAACCAACATAACCAAATAATCGATAATTGGAGAGAAGAATATGAAAATGATGATAATAAAGGAAAATTTAAAATGATGAAAAGTGTTATTAAAAAAAATAATTTAAAACATCAAAATGTTGTTTCTTTAAACGTTGGAAAAGGAAAAGCTATAACAGTTTTATTGTTGTGTTATGAAAAAAATAATGAAGAAGTTAATTATGGTTCAATTAGTGGTAAAGTTTGGCTTAAAAGTTCAGACGAAGCTACGTTTGATAAAATCAAGGGTCATCCTGAAGAATTAGCTGCTGCTATTTTTTCAAAATCAAATTCTGAATTTGAAATTAAATGTGTTAGTAATTAATTTTTTTTCTTTTCCTTATATGTATTTTTTATTTTTATTAGAAAATAAATATTCCAATCAATTATATTCCTGATCAAGTTTTGAAATTACGCGAAACAAATCCAAATTATGAATATCAAAAAACTGTAAATGATTTTGTTTCTGATCCTGAAATTCATAATGTAATAATTGAAAATTGGACTGAAGAATATGGTGAAACAATTAAAAATTCTTTAGAAGAAAAAAATTATTTTTTTGAAACACGTCTTTCTGATAATATTAAAAAATTTATTTTATTATTTGTTCATAAAAATGAGAAAGAATATCGTTATATTAGTATTGATTTAAAAATTAAAAAAGATATTCCTGATGATTATTTCTTTATTTTATTAGAAAATAATTTTAAAGAGTATAATTTTCAAAATAATTATATCGCAGAAGGTCCTTCTTTTTAATTTTTTAAAAATTTTTATTTTTTTATTTTTTGAAATTATTTTTTAATAAAAATTTATATTAACGAAACAAAATAAATAATTTATAAATTAAAAAAAAATATTTTTTATTTATTAAACAAATACTATTTATTTAAAAAAAATAATAAATTAAATTTATTTTATATCATTATATGTGTTTAAAAATGTACGTAGAAAATTTAATATCTCTTTATCAACTTCTGCTTTCACATCTTTTGTTTCAGGTTCAGTTTTTGTAGATTTTTGCTGTTCTTTTTTTGGTTTTGGTTTAGTTTGTTTTGTTTTTGTCTGTTTTGGTTTTGTTTGTCTTGGTTTTCTTGGTTTTGAGTTTGTTTTTTTTGGTTTTGTATTTTTTGATTTTGGAACTTTTGTTTTTTTAAATTTCTCTCTGTAATCTGTGATTATTTTATATGCTTCTGTGATCTCTTTTGTTTTTTTTTCAGATTCCTCTTTGTTGTTGATATTTTTATCTGGATGCCAAATCAAAATCAATTTTTTATAAGTTTTTTTAATTTCTAAATCAGTTGCTCGTTCATTTAATCCTAAAATTTTATAATAATATAATATTTCTTCTTTCTTCATTTTATTAATTTAAAATAAATATTCTTCACTACCAATATATTTATATATTTTTATATACATATATTAGTACAAGTTCTTATATTATGACCTGTTTTTTTACAGCAGCTACATCTTCTTACAATCTTTGAATATGAATATGAATTTTTGTATATAATATGATTAGATGATCTTTGACAACAAGAAGCATATATTTCTAATTGATGAAAAATCGATATAAAAATAATAAAATATATAAACAGATAAAAAATTTTCATTTTTTTTTATTGAATAAGATAAATTATAGTTATATTTATATTAAATTTTAATTCTTTTCTTTTGTTTTACATTTTTAACTTCATATTTTCTTTTTCTTGAATAATTAATTGCTACTTCGTAAAATTGACATCTTCCACATTTATAATACCAAAATCTTTTATCTTTTGATTGTTTAAAAATTAACCAAGATTTACTATCAGAACCAGAACAATTACATTCTTTACTAAGAGTAAAATCTACACCAAAAGAAAAAATCTTAAAGATACCAATTTTTATAAATAAATCAGTGAATATAATTGCGATAGAATCATTACAATCAATTATAGTATTCAAGATAATTGATTCATAAAAATTTAATTCTTCACACTGTTTTTCTTTAAAATAATTAATCATTCTTTGTGTTGGATCAAAATAATTTTCATATCGTTTAATAAGTTTTAACGCTAATTTAGATAGAACTGTGACTTCATTTATATGATAGAATTCAAAATATATATTTCTGAATGAATACTCAAATAATCGTTTGAAATCTTTTGATACAAAACGCATATTATCAATAAGTCTTTTTGGATGTTGTTTTGAATCAATACTTTCATAATGATTATTAAATATCAAAGATTCTGAAAAAAAATATATTATTTGTTCAATTATTTCTTCTGGTAAAAAAGACATTAATTTTACTAAAGAAAAATTTATCTTTATTTATATATAAAATTTAATTTAATACTAATAAATAAATTATATATTTCCAAATGTAGAATAATATAAATTATGATAAAAGAAAATCTAATTGGTTTAAAAGTAATTTTTGTTGAAGCAAATTGTTTTTGACTACAGTATTATCTTTCTCAAGAGATTGAACTCGTTCTTCAAGATTTTGAATTCTGTTTTCATGATTTTTAACCACAGTATTTAATCTTTTAATTTCATTTTCCATTAATGATGGTTTATATTTCAAACAATCAAGATTATTTTTAAAACAAAATTCACATTTTTCCTCATTCTCCTCTGATGGAATACATTTTATTCTTTTAAATCTACAAATAGAGCATATAGTTTTTTCAGTTTTTGTCTTTAATTTTTTTTCTTTTGGAATTTTTGCCATTTTTTATTTAAAAAATCATAATAATGGTATTTATATTTATATATTTTTTTTACAAAATTTAATATATTTTTTTTATATAAATAAATATTATTTTCTTTTATTTTTTTTAAAAATTAAAAAATGACTGCTGTGAATTTTGAACAAGAAACTAATAGTTCTCCTTGGAAACAAATTCATTCAACCTTTAAGGTTATCAACAATTGGTTTGGAGGAAAACCAGGATCTAATACTCATAAAAATAAAATTTATAATCAGATAAGGCTTGTGACTATTCAAGGTATTGCTTACTTAGAGGTTAAAACTCAGAAACCTGAGATCACTTTTCTCTGTGATGTATCAGATTATACTAAACTTCGACAACATATTTGGTATACTAATAAACCAAATTTAAAAAGATATAATTATTCATATTATATTTCAACAAATATTAGAAAAAATAATAATCAAAAAATATTACGATTTCATAAATTTATTTATCCTGAATGGAAAATGATAGATCATATTAATCGTTCAGGTTTAGATAATAGAAAAATTAATCTTAGAAATGGTTCTAATTGTATTAATAATTTAAATTGTAGGTTACAAAAAAATAATACTAGTGGATTTAATGGTATTTATTATAATAAAAGAGATAAAATTTGGGGATTCAAATGGTGTAAAAATAAAAGACAACAACATAAATATTTTAAATCAAAGCAAGAAGCAATTAAATTCAAACTAGCTCATGACAAAATCACTGGAAACAGAAATGGATATTCTGTTTAAATTTGTAATTTATTTTTTTTTTGGTTTTTCGTAAAAAAATAATAAAAAAAATTAAATATTATAATTAATTTATAATAAAAAAAAAGATCTATGTAAAAATATTGATTAAAAAATATTTTTTTTTTATTTTCTATTTTAAGAGTAAAAAAAAAGATTTACAAATATCTAAAAATGTAATTAATTAAACTAAAATTTATTTAATTTATTTTTAAAAGAACAATTACGATACAAAATATTGTTGGTTAAAAAAAAATATTATTTTAAGGTAAATATATTATTATTAGTTTATACTTTTTTTTTAACAAATAAAAAAAAATGAGTGATGATAAAAAAATACTTGATGAAGAAATTGCACGCATCAAACAACTTTTAAAAGATCAAGAAGTTGAAATTGATATTGAAAAAAGAAAATGTGATCAATTACTTGAAATGTTTTCTAACGTGAAGAAGAATGTTGCTGATTCAATAAAAGAATCTCTACCTGAAATCTTAAATAAAGTTATTAAAAATATTAATATCGGTGATGATGTAAAAAAATTAGTAACTGAAAAATCAGGAGAAGTGATCGAAAAATTAAATAAGAAAAATAATAGCGTAGATAATTCAAAAAATATTGATGAAATTGTGAAAATAAAATCATTCTATCCTAATGATATTGATTTGTAAGTTTTATTTAATTATTATAAAAAATAAAAAAAAAATTAACAATTTTTTTCATTTATTTAGAAATAAAAAAATTAAAGAAAAGATTCAAGAAGCATTAAAAGATCCTAATTTAGATCAAGAAGAGAAAAAAGATCTTTTGAATGATGGTATATTCAATTCTAGTCTATGGAGAGCAGAAAATTTTTTTAAATATTTTACTGATTTAGATGTTGCGATTACAACAAGTCCATTTAAAGAATAGTCATTTGTATTTTTATTGTATTATTTTTTTATAGTTTGTATAACAAAATATTTAATAAATATGGAAAGATTAAATTCTTTGATTGTCTGAGAGAACAATCAATTGCATATCTGTATTTTTTGATGCGTCAGTTTAATGTATATTTTTTTTTTATTTATACTTGAATTTTATTAGTTTATACTTTTTTTTTACAAATAAAAAAAAAATATGAGTGATAATGATAAAAAAACACTTGATAGTGAGACTGCTCGCATCAAACAACTTTTAAAAGATCAAGAAGATGAAATCGATATTGAAAAGAAAAAATATGAACAGTTACTTGAAATGTTTTCTAACGTGAAGAAGAATGTTGCTGATGCTATGAAAGAATCTCTACCTGATATCCTGAAAGAAGCGATCAAAGATGTTGATGTAGGTGACGATGTGAAAAAATTAGTAACTGAAAAATCAGGAGAAGTGATCGAAAAATTAAGTGAGAAAATTAAGGGTGTCGGAATAGAGGAAGAGAAAAATGCATTCCAAAGTATTAAAAGAAATAAAAAATCAACTTAATAATATTTTTAAAGATAAATAAAATATTGTAGATCAGTAATTAAAATTATATTATATTTTGTATTACATATATTTTATTATTATAAGATTAAATAAAATGTTATAAAATATGATCAGATTTTATTTTTTTTTAAAAAAAAAATGTCATATTCTGTTCAACAAAAAGTTGAGTTAGCAGCAGAAGCTTCTCGTCTTAAACAATTGTTAGAAGACCAAGAAAGAGAACTTGAACAATGGAAAGAAATTTACCAGAAATTACTTGAAAAATTAGGAAATATCAAAAATGATATAGCTGATGCTGTAAAAGAATCTCTACCTGAAATCTTAAATGAATCACTTAAAGGTGTCAATATCGGTGATAATATTAAACAAACAATAATTGATGAAGCAGAAAAAATTACTAGAAGAAGACCTACATACTGATAAAATCTTGAACAAGAATGAAAGTAAAAAATTAATAGAAAAGGTAA